TATATATATATATATATATATATATATATAATAAGCACCAAATCAGCATATTAGAATGATTTCTGAAGAATCATGTGACACTGAAGACTGGAGTAAGCTTTGCCATCTCTAGAGTAAATAATATTTTAAAATATATTCAAATAGAAAACAGGTATTTTGCATTTTAACAATATTTCACAATTTTTACTGCATTTTTGGATACAGATAAATCAAATAAATGCAGCCTTGGTGAGCATATGAGACTTCTCTTCTTAAGCATATGAAATCTTAATTATTCCAAACTTTTGATTGATCGTAGAATAAAACAAAGAATATGGCAAAACATAATGAACAAATAAAAGAATGTGTTTGTGTGGAGGCTGTTTGCTTGCCGTGCTTCTGTTAGCATTAGAGACATGGGAGATGGTGTAGATCCCCCCGCCACAGCTATTTATGCAAGGATTACGCTTCCTTAGTGACTGAGACGAGGACGCGGCGGCGCATGTGCTTATTTAATTAGCAGGGCCGAGAGGAAGGGGGGTCGCTGGAATACTGATGGGGCTCGGACGCTCGCATTACCGCTGCAATTAGCACTTAGATTGGAGCTCTAAACCCTCTCATTTGGGAGGTAATTGGAGATCTTGGTGCTACCTGAGACCACTGTGACTGTCTGCCGCTTTCGGCAAATCACGCGCTCGTGCCCGCTGCCTAATGCGTGGAGAACTGGAACTTATTTGAATGTTTATGTTGTTAAGAGGTGATTCATCCACATGACTGCAATCTCCAAAAACGTATGCTTTGTTCGACGGTGTCAAGAAATGCAGTCTTTGTAAACCGAGTGCGGTTTACTTTGTATCTTGGGTACATAAGATAACGCACCTGAGAGATCTGATTGGGCTGCAGCACCTCCTTCACCATCGACGTGAAGTTGTCCTCTTTCCCGTCACAGGCGGCCATTAGCTCGGGAAGCCCCTCGATTGGGCTTTGATAGCCACCTCCGCCCCTCGCACCTTTGGCGCTCCACCTCCTGTTAAAGAAAAGAGACGGTCACGTCACGCTGCCTTCAATCATGTAAGGGCTGGCTGAGCTCCCGTTTCCTGCTGTCACAGCGTGATGGATCCTGCCTGGCCTGATCCCTCTCTTACCATTTTTATTGTGTTTCCACCAAATTACACTCGCCGCGGGACACGGGCACGGCGAAATGTGTCATGGGCGAGAGAAAATCCAACGCCAATGATGTTAGTGTGTGCATGTGTGAGGAGCGGTTGTGGGGGAGGCGTCACCGCTGATAAGTGATGCTGATGGTGTTTGCGGAGTTAGATAAGAGATGGCGGCGGGATTAGCCGCTAAGCCATGTTACACTGTCATAATCGGCGAGCCACAGGTGAGAAGCTCTGCACCCCTTTAACACCGCCGACAGGAAGTGAACACTTGCCTCTCGCTGTGACAACGTGTTAGGATACGCTCAGACTCGGGCGAGCGGAAAACATATGGGTAGAGGAGAAGAGAAAGCAAAGAATGTTCAGAAACAGTCAATAAGCCTGTACAATATACAATAGGGAAAAACTTTGCCTGCCACAACATATTATATTATATATATTTGTACGATCTTGGTCATACTACCAATTCTTCTATAATTATTTAATAAATGTTTGGGGTCAGTTATAATTTTATGTGTTTATATACTTTTTTATTTATATTTTACATTTTAATTATATATATATATATATATATATATACACACACACAGTGGGTATTATTGGTGTTATATCTTTCACCTGGATGTTATAAGTTGCAATAAGAGTAAATACAGCTAGCTAAAACAAAAACTGTGTCCGTCTTCATTTCAGGCTGCAAGGCAACAAAATTTGATTATTTTAAAGAGGGGTCTAAACACACAGTATATTTTAAACATAAAATGTTACAAAAGACTTTAATGTAAAATAAAAACTCCACAAGAAGTTTCCAAAAAAATATGAACCCCAACCATGACTCAACAATGAATAATAAGAAATATTTCTTGAACACCAAATAAAATATTAGAATGAATTCTGAAAAGTACACAAAAAAAGTCAATCAATCCTTTCTCTCTCGCTATATATTCATATATGAACAGTTATTTTAAATTCTAATCATATTTCACAATATTATTCACAATAATACTGTAAAAGAAATTCCCCAAAATCTTACAAACCCCAAACGTTTGAACAGTAGTCATGTTATGAGTAAATTTATATCATATAATATCAAAATATATATATTTTAAAATATTTTATATCGTACAAAACCATGTTGTAATTCATCAATATAGTCAATGTAACTAATATGAAATAATAAATATAATTTAACCAAAGGTTTTGAGTCATTAATTTCATTTTTTTTTTTTAAAGATCATTCATATCAGAATTATAGCAAGATGTATCAATAAGTACTAGTTTTTATTGTAAAAGCATCAATTTTCCAAGCCTTTAACTGGCATGCAAACCAACTGTAAAACAACTTGGTTGTCTTACATTGTAGTCAGTCCACTCGTGTATGTAGATTATGAGCTTCACCACACATCAGATGCTATGACACAAATGCTAGGATGCTCTATAACTTATAGGCCATTCTAGGGCATTCAACATTTTGAACTGAAAGGGCCAAATGATTCTACTGGCCCCAGTCAGGGTCTTCTGGTTAGACGTACAGCAGGTATCTCCATTTGATTGATGTTGTCATGATAAGATTGTGCAGCAAACACTAAATCTGTGAGGCAAACAGCAGAACAATGGAAGGCCACACAGATGCTGTGGTCACAGCTGTCCTCAGGAGTGTGCAGGCGATCAGCACCTCTGGGACACCCTGGATCAAAGCACCTGGAGACGTGACCCAGGAACTCCATCAGGCTCTGCAGCAGGACTGGGTTAACTTCCCGTCACTGGCTGCTTCACAAGCTCTTTGTGCACTAGATGTGTCAAGTAGAGACATTTACCATTTACAAACAAAACACGTCTTTTATCTTGGAGCTATAGGATCGATCACGCTACATACAACATCTGGATTTGTTTACAGGTTATAAGATGCCTGCACCATAATTACCCCATTCCACTGAGCAAAGGGAAAATACAGTAACTTCACATTTGGTCATTTTAGTTATGATCTGTCCTGTGATAAGACAGCTGTGAGAAAACAGATATCAACTCTTTTATATGTCCTGTAACTGGTGACAGTTTTTTTTTTTTTTCATTTCTAAACACCTTTTTGCCTTCATTAGGTTTTTATTTTTATTTTTTTTATAGCTTTGCAAAGTTGTAAGATTATTGGAGTAGGCTTTTGCTGTTTTCGTTCAAATCAAAGCGTAAATACACGTATAAAACGTATCCTTGTGTCGCGGCTGACACAGAATACCGTACGCTGCTTGCGTCCAGCGGATATTCTCCAAAATGGCGCTACGGTGATACGGAGAGACACAGAGGAGACGAATTGTTGAATAAAGTCGTTATTTTTGTTTTCTTCGCGTACAAAAAGTATTCTCGTCGCTTCATGACGTTACGGTTGAACCACTGAGGCTTTTAAAAAAAAAAGTATTTTTACTTCAGAATTTCACATTTAATGTTACTTGTCATTTCTTTTATTTTTTTCCCCGTGAAATTTACTTGCAATTTATGAGTGAAAATTGTTTCAAAGTAAATCCAACATCAAATTGTTTTCAATGTTTTTAATTAATATGACACTAATACTCCACCCCAAAATGAAAATTTTGTCATTAGTTTCATACTTTTCTGGACTTTGACAGTGTAATTTACTAGGCATTCAATGGGACAGTCACAAGCCTCCCGGTTTAAGCAGAAAATATCTTAAATTGTGTTCCGAAGACGAACGAAGCTTTTACGGGTTTGGAACGACATGGGGGTAAGTGATTAATGACAAAATTTTCATTTTGGGGTGGAGTATCCCTTTAAGTAACTATAAAAGAATCAGAAAAAATACTGTTTAAATTACTTTAAAAAAACAGTTAAAATGACGTCTAATACTACCCAAATATATTGTTTTTTATACTGATGTTAGTTGAGCATAATTTCTAATCTCTATTATATCAGGATTCTGTACACAGTACCTGTTCTGGAATATTCGTGTAGGGACAGATGTTAAAATGAGTGATGAGTGTTGATGAAATAAGGATGTACAGTAACGGACCCAGTACAGGACGCATTACAAGTTTTTGTACCTGAAGACATAGAGATCCTGCTTTTGGATGTGAGGAAGTGTGAGCAGCGAGGAATCCTGAAGCCATCTGGCCTGAATGATCATCTGTACAAGGTTGCAAATGCTCAGTGCAGACACGAGCCATCCTTCATTCGCCACCACATCCAGCATAGCCTGCAGAGAGAACAACATCAACACAGACACTACGCTTTAACGTTTGGGGTTAATAGTTTTTTTTTTTTTTTGAAAGAACAGAAATGGATAATTTTATTCAGCAAGAACATATTAATTTGATCAAAAGTAATATTTAAGATGTTATAAAATATTTCTATTTCAAACAAATGCTATTCTTTTGACCTTTCTATTCATCAAACAATACTGAAAAAAAATGTGTCATGGTTTCCACAAAAATAATAAGCTGCACAACTGTTGTCAACATTGATAGTAATAAGAAATGTTACAATATTTCACAATAATTGTATTTTTGATCAAATAAATGCAGCGTTGGTGGTCTTACCCACCCCACAAACTAAATATTACACAGCATAAAATAGAATCATGGCATTTGATAGTATCTTAATGCAAATATATTCCTACCTTTAGATAAACTATGTGATGCTGATATTGAATATAAACGATTAGACCACTAGGAATATCAATGAGTACTATTGGTATATCTTTATTTATATGTCAGCCTGTCTTCTAGATTTCCACACTCTCTCTCTGGTTCTGTCAGTCTCTCCTCCTCTATCTAAGGTTAAAGTTTGCTGAGCTCAGCTGCGCTAACACACTTAATTAATCAAAAAGTAATTTCCTCTGTAACTGAGTAAAAAGCACCCGAAGAGCACCGGAAAGCCCTGCAAGTTAATCAAAATGCTAATGCAGTACAAATTAAAGTTGTGATTAACATTTCACAGTAGCTGCTTGAGTAAACTGAGGACAGCAACAGGATGATGGGACAAACCTTTCCGCGAGGAAAGAAAGAGACAGACAGACAGGCATTCAAAAATAATAGTAATTTTTCTTTAAAAAATAAATCAAATCAAATCAAATAAAGCTCAGAGGACTGACAATAAACATAGAACGGGTTACTAGTCATCCAATGACTGTTTAGCAGGTTAAAGACGTTTTAAATGATTTATTGAACGGTTTAAATGAAGTTAAAGAATTCATTTGTACATCAAGCTGTATTAGCGCTGAATAACTCATATAAAAAGTAAATGCCCTTTTTTTTTATGTGTGTGAAAGCTCTGCATTCTGTGTTGTTTATGTGATAAAGTATTGTAACCTTGAGTGAACCTGCTGTAACGTAAGACAAATTTCAGACTCAGTCTGACAATAAAGTGTATCGTATCGTATCGTATCGTAGGTAACTAGACTAGACTATCGTTTATGTAGATTTTATTTATTTATTTTTTTTTTTTTTAATGTATGTGTGTGAAAGCTCTGCATTCTGTGTTGTTTATGTGATAAAGTATTGTAACCTTGAGTGAACCTGCTGTAACGTAAGACAAATTTCAGACTCAGTCTGACAATAAAGTGTATCGTATCGTATCGTATCATAGGTAACTAGACTAGACTATCGTTTATGTAGATTTTATTTATTTATTTTTCAATTATAGAAGACAGCGTGTTAACTAAATTGTTACAAGGTAATTTAAGGTCATTTTATTTACTGATATTACTAATTAATGTCACAATTATAATTAATGAATGGCTATAAGACAACAACAACAACCCTCTTAGAATATACTGTGAGCAATCTGTCGATCCATTTTTTTTGGTAAGGACTGATGATAGTTTGGACATGACCATAAGCCAGCCTACAAGGCTTCCGCAAGAAACGAGTTGTTGTGAAAATTGTTTGAAAATCTGAAGTGAATTTACACAATTACTACTCCTTCAATATTTATGTTTCCATCCAAAGTTGCAAATTAAACTTATGTGGAAAACTAGAACATCGCATGACACCTCCCATGTGTTCAACCAGACAAAATCGTCACTTCCTGGGAAACTGGTGAAAAGTATCCGTAATGAAATGAAAGTTGATGCAACTGGGGTAGTCTGTTTTTTTTCCCCTACATAATAAATGACAGACAAAACACATTAGCAAACATTGTCATTTTCGTTTTCCTGCATTCAGATTTGTGAATTGCATTCACAATTGCATTCAGGGAATGCAATTGTGTTCTGGGAGGTAATTGTAACAAATGATTTTGATGACGGACTTTGGCTCAGGCATTTCAGAATTATAAAACAACATTTGAGATGTGATGAGATTGGTGTGTTGGCTAAACCAGTTATCCAATAGCATGATTTGATTTTTTGTTGCACATCAAGGAATTTATAAGATAAATGGACTTCCATTTTTTTTTTATATTGTTTTCTTATTGGATAAAAAAAATCACCTCAAATGAGCACCTAAGGTTTTTATGTGCATTTTAAGATTTTATGCTTATCGTGATGTTGATGGAAACTTAGCTAAAGATGCCTAACATGTCTGTTTGCATTCATACATGTCACATTTAAATTGTAAAACATTTCTAACTTGAACGATTTCTAAAAGTATATAACTTGAAATATTTGAGAATAATTACAAAACCATCAAAAACAAAGCAGCAATTTGAATTCTTGATTTTACACTACCATTTGAAAGTTTAAGTAAATTAATACTTTTATTCATCAGAGATACATTAAAATTATCAAAAGTGACAGTAAAAAAATGTATCATGTTACAAAAGATTTATATTTAATTACATGCTGTTCTAAAGACTGGAGTAATGGTTGCTGATCAGATATTGTAGTTGTAAAAATATTTCACCATATTACTGATTTTACTGTATCTTTGATCAAATATATGCAGTCTTGGTGAAAGTAAGAGACTTCTTTCAAAAACAACCTTTTGAACGATAGTGTATCTTCCTGTAATAACTCACACTTTGATAGTCTATAATTCATGGCAAATGCAGAGAGAGAGCAAATAAATATTCAAATGTAATCATCGCAGCTGGGCATCATGGGAAGGGTTAATTCTCTTACATCACTGCAGGATGAGCTCAGCTGTGTGAGAGACTGACTGCTATGAATGCATGGGGCTGCCAGCAACACTGCCACAGCCACATCATGTAGAAGCATAGCCAATCACTCCCAGACACACACACACACACACGTAGAGAATCACAGGCACTCGCTCTGCTCCGCACACATGAGCCATTGGCAGAGCCGGACCGCCAGCGTGGACAATCTGTCCAGTCTCCGGCCGAAGAAAATCAAGAGTGTGGTCTCAGGCAAAGCCACTTGCAAACAGATCCGAAGGTGTGCCATCAGGCATGAACAATCAACATCAGGCTGCTTGGCCGGCTCAGGCAGCGCAGGCTTTTTTATGGCTGCCCTTGAGGCGAGTGTTTTATGACGTTCCAAACGACCTGACAGCAGAATATCCATAAATCATATCCACACTTCAGCCACTCTGTCCTCAGTGTGTTGCACTGTGATTCTGTTTACACGCGTCAGAATAACACAGGATGGCAGAGCACCATTAAGATGCGGTCTCAGAAAAGCAACTTGTTAGCTTTTGCAACACCCACCCACAAACACACCCACACTAACCACAGCAATAATAGAAAAATTAAGGTTGTGAATTCTTCTTTAAAAAAGGACATATATTTTCTTGTTTTGCTATTATTTCCTGCTCTAACACTGTATTTGCTAAACTGACCTTAACAGAGTAGACCTGACAGACCCTGACAGTTTAATATTATAATCAAAGGGTTTAATTTCAGCTTGAATATCATTGTGTGTGACATAATTAAAGCAACAACTGATAATGTACCTCAGATCATGAAAATAAATGAAAGTGTGTTGGAAACACTTTCAGAGCGATTATTAACAGGAAATAAATGATCAAACATTGACAGCCAAAGCTCATCTGACATTAAAGCGTGCTTAGAATAAACAGAAAATTATGGTCCATTGGTGTGGACACTAATATAGTTAATATTATAGTTTCTGTTCTTGGCATGAATAGGCCTTAAGCCTTGAACCAAACCAAACAACTCTGTGAACAAATGACAAAACATTATAGTTTTATTCAGATAAAACAACAACAACAACAACAACTTTATACTCGTGCATATCAACACAAAAATCAAAAACATCCCATATGAACTAACGCCATGTAGTTAGCTATTGTTAGCTTCCCTAGTCTGCCAAAACTCAAGCCAACACTGCTTGCTGTGAATCTCATTTCCACGCATCGCCTCTGATTGGTAGATCTCTCTTTAGCATTATGGGTAGTGTAGTTCTTTAACAAGAACACAATTCGCAATTAAGCACATTTTAAAAATTAATATACATTTTTGGTAAAAATCTAGTTCAGTAGTGAAACAATTAATTTGAGTTTTATTCTAATGTTGCACTATATAAATATAAACAAACAAATAGGCAGTTGACATACAGTATAATAATGTGTTCATTGACATTTTTTACAAATCAACAAAGATTTCTATAAAGGTTTTATGTTTAGATTTCATGTCATCTATATACGGGATATACTGCTATTATCAGAACAAAACTAGAACTGCTCCCGAGAATCTGTTCCTGAGTCAATATAAGTCTGTAGATTTGAAAGAAACGGTAATAAACACACTCACACACAGATGAAGATAAACACACACCTGGCAGATGCGGATGGTGTTGTCCAGCACGGTTTTGGTGTCGGTTCCGTAGTCGCTGCAGGGCAGCTGTGCCCGGCTGAAGTGGGCCTGCATAAGCAGGTGTGTTTTGGTGTGCGCGCTGTCGTACGAGTGAGGGTTGACCTGCAGGGGGAGCTGCTGGGCCAGCTCGCTGTTCAGTTGGTCCTCGTTGTGGCGTACGGGGAGCTCGGCGTACTCCTCTGCTTCCTGTAAACACACACAAAGCATCCGCTGAACACCACTCACTCGCTTTTATGTCTACCCACCAATCCACATCCAGCATATTCTATTAAAGACTGAAAAATGCCATAGACAGATTTAAACTATTACGATATTTTGAATATTGAACGACTTCCTGTTGTTAAGGTAATGTCATAAAAACAAAATTAACAACTAGAATAAAGCCTGGTCATATTGTGCACAATCCAGAACTGCATGTTATAAAAAACAAAAACAAACAAAAAACGTTTTTCTATCATCAAAATGTAACAAGTCTCTTCAATGACTTTTCGTTTAGGATGATATCACATGTCATCTTTTTCAACCTTCTTCTCCAGCCATCTGTCAAACAGCAACCACTTTCACTATCCAATCAACTGCCAGTGAATAAAAGTCCAACCCAACCTTTTTTTTTCTCAGTGAATATACTCTTTTACTAAGAAATATATTGCATTATGGACCCCCAAATCTCCAATTGTAGAAGATATTTCAATGAGAAACAGGAAGCAATGAGGCATATTCTTCTACCACTACCGTTAATATTAAACATGTTTAAACCTGAGCTTAGATTTATCTCTCTATGAAGTCTGCATTGTACAGAATATAAAGCAAAAAAAAAAAAAAAAGTGATAAATGTAATTGGAGGCCAAACTGTTCAGTTCAGTTTGACTCTATATCTTATATATATATATATATAAGAAACAAGAAATTGGAAGTTGCAATGGGCTTTTATGAAGAAACATTAAATTAAGCAACATTTTTGAAAGTTTTGAAATTTCAACTTTTAAATTGTGCCAATTTTATTAGTATTTTTTCTGATGTCCTTTAAATATAAAATTTCCAAATGAAAAAAAAAATCATATTTTATATTTCTTATAAATTTTAGAACTAATTAAATAAATGATTTAATCATGCTAAACAATTTCCAAACATCAACAACAGATTTGAGTGGAAACCTTTTTACATTTGTGTATAAAATGTAAAATGTTTTTCTGGGTCAAAGCGACTTAAAATAATGGAACAGGTCACATTTTTTTTTTTCAAATGGCTTGAAAATAAATAACGAAGCTTAACGTTTGGACAAAAATGCTGCTTATTCGACATTAAAAAATGATATAAAATGCTTCATTTATTTCATTGATTTCAACCATGTCATCAATATTTGTCTGAAATTATAAATTGAATCTGTTATTTTCTATCAATAACCATTAAATAATCATCCAAAGGTCAACCATTAAATAATCATCCAAAGGTCAACCATTAAATAATCATCCAAAAACACAACAAAACCAAACAAACAAAAATGACAGAATGGCTAACAGGATTTCAGATCTCGCCTAATTTGGTAATAAAGTAAGATCTGTGCCTTAACTGGTTAAAATAAAAGAAATGAGATACATTCGTGGAATTTCAATTTAAAGCACATTCCCAATACTTTTATATACTGAAGTTGCTCTGTCTCTAATCTCAACTGCTCTATCACGACTGGTTATAAAAACTGTTCAAGAACATGTTTTAACAATCTTCTTTGAGAGTTTCCATCAGGTCTGCAGCGCCTCTACTATGAGACAGATGTCATGTGGTGAGGACGTCAGTGAAGTGTGAAAAGCCTTTATGTCTCAATTATGGCCGCGGCACTCTACAGGGGCGGCACTCTAATGAGGCGAACGTAAAGAGCTGCTAATTTTACACCAACCCTTAGGGGTGCAATTATGTGTGTGTGTGTGTGTGAGTGCTCAGCTGTATCCAGCCAAACTGGACTCATGGAATAATCATTAACTGTGTCAGGATGTTGGACCCATATTCTTCCACTGCTAAACATAACTATTAAAACATGTTTAAACCTGAGCTTAGATTTATCTCTCTATGAAGTCTGCATTGTACAGAATATAAAGAAAAAAAAAAAAAAAAAGTGATAAATGTAATTGGAGGCCAAACTGTTCAGTTCAGTTTGACTCTATATCTTTCAGTGACATTTACAGAGAAAGAAACATTACAGTTCTTGGAGCTAAAAAGCCTGTTTGCACTTTCTGTGACTTTCCAGGCTGCCCTACAAAACTTGGCTTAAAAAAAATCAATAAAAAGAGAGGTGAACCTCTGAAAACGAAATATTATATTCATTGTTTTATTGTAGTTATATAAGTCCCAAGATTGTTATACAATATATCAACATATTTTATAGCACATTACAACTTTAAACTGTAAAAACTAGTTTAAACACCTTATTTTAATGTTTTTCTTTTTTAAAAGAAATAAAAAAATACTTTTTGGAAGATTTACTTATAATTTTCATACATTACATAATAATAATACTAATAATACTAATAATGTTACTTCTTAAATGCCATTATTCAATTCAATTCAATTCAATTCAATACAATTCAATTCACAGTTGAACATTGCTTTTCACGAAACATCAAAACATAACGTTTCAAATTTCATGGAACATTCTAAGTTTTGTAAAAGGGGGGAATTATGCAGCTACAGGGAGGTTGTCAAATTGCAGGATATTTTATGCATTTTTTTTTAAATGCGTGTGTTAATAGCACCATAGACACGGAGACAAAAAAAAAACTGCAAAGATTTGCATATCAGTTTAACAGTTTATAGCTATGTTGTATTATTTTAATTGCTGAATACAACTGAGAAGGTCAAGACCATTGTGTTGGGATGGGGGAGCTCTTGTAGCTGTGAGGGGCGGCCTTGACTTGGTGTCTCATTATGAACCCTTCCACGGTAATTAGAGGACAATAAGGGTGAAAGAGGGGCTGATGGGGGAGGCGTCATGCGGAGGGGTCATTTGTTGCTATTGAACGACTGGTTAGAGTGAAAATGGGGGTCCTGCCCACTTCATGTCATGCTTTTGTTAAGCAACCAGTGTGAGCGTTAGACAGCGAGATGTAATGACTGAGTGGTAAGTGGATAATCAAGCGGGAAACATATAACTGTGAGGATCAGTGATTTATCCCTGCTGCCTCAGGCAACATTACCACATTAACATGTGCTCTTTTCCTATTACTGACACACAAACACACCGGCATTAAAATTCACAGGCATGACTCAAACCTTCTCTCATCTCTCAGACCTTCTATATTTTGACCAGTTCAGCAGATGAAGCATTTGTGGCGATGTCTTTAGCATCAGGAAATCTGAGATGGCCTGGAGTAGTTTGTTTGCCCAGGTCACACAGCGGTCACAGTCTCTGATGTCTTCTTTTCTTTTTCATTCTTTCAGAAAGGTTATAGATAAATCTCAGGAATGATTGTCTGTAAAATGCTTTCTTGCTGCTTGAGGATGGCCAGCAGCTCTTGGATGGGCAGCTCTGGCTTCAGACGCTCTTTGAACGTGCGGATGGTCTGGTGTTTCAGGTAATAGTAGGATGAGATGCGGCCGTACGTCAGCGGCTCGATGGTTTGCTCGTCCTGAACAAAACAAGACGGTCACTGATTAACAAACCAGAGGTCAAAATACAGCCGTACAGCGGGCAGGTCAAAGATGAAATTCCCTGTCAGTCCTCCAGCAAAAAGACAACTTCTGAAACAACTATTAGCTTCATTCCAAAAATCCAGTGCTCTGCATCACTGTCTACAAAGGCAGCATTCTACATAAAATAAAACACTCTGCAGCAACTCTCTCAACGCTCACTCATGATACTGCAGTACTAATATCTGAAAATAGCAGTAATAGTGAACAGATTATTATTAATAACTGATATAAGTAAATTATTATTTAAAAAAAAAACATAAAAAACTGGGCAGCACATAAAAATGTAAACGCTAAAATGACTCTTCCTCCTGTATTTCCATGCAGTAGGAACATTCCAGATCCCTCAGACTCCTCTCCACCAGGTTTGAAAGGTATTTGTTAATGGTTTCATGGGTGATGTCATCCAAATTATAGTAACTGAGAGCAAAGAGAGAGCAGTTAAAAGTGGAACACACACACACACACACACACACACACACAGTAGAATCCACTTATTATATTGGTTTTCAATATTGTACTGTAAAAAAAACAAACAAACACTCTGCAGCAACTCTCTCAACGCTCACTCATGATACTGCAGTACTAATATCTGAAAATAGCAGTAATAGTGAACAGATTATTATTAATAACTGATATAAGTAAATTATTATTTAAAAAAAAAACATAAAAAACTGGGCAGCACATAAAAATGTAAACGCTAAAATGACTCTACCTCCTGTATTTCCATGCAGTAGGAACATTCCAGATCCCTCAGACTCCTCTCCACCAGGTTTGAAAGGTATTTGTTAATGGTTTCATGGGTGATGTCATCCAAATTATAGTAACTGAGAGCAAAGAGAGAGCAGTTAAAAGTGGAACACACACACACACACACACACACACACACACACACAGTAGAATCCACTTATTATATTGGTTTTCAATATTGTACTGTAAAAAAAACAAACAAATACTTCTTGAGTACATTTAATCATTGTGAGTATCTTTAATAATGCATATCTAGTGTATCTAAAGATCCTTAAAACAAGCTAACAGCAAAATTTATTAAAGTATCTTGGATAAGATAAGATATGAATATATCTTGAATGTAAGTGTACAGTATTTTGTATTGTGGCACTTGCAGATATTTCTCGTTTTAAACAAAGACAAAGTATAAAAAAAAAAAAAGCAGCACCTCATGGCAAATTATATTAAAAATAGATCCTCTAAAAAAAGCTTTAATTTCTCACACAGTTTTGCAAATCAGGTGAAGTTTTGATTTTGAAGAACAATTAGATATTTTTACTGAAAAAAAAGACTGAAAAAATTAACTCATGTGTTCTGAGTAAATGATTTGTTATAAACCGATTCAGACAGTAATGTCTCGTGAGTTCAGTGCTGGACAGATCAGGATTTTTTAACCATTCATTAAAATGAATCGGTTCAAAGGAGTCGTTAGGTCGCGAATCGGACATTAGCAGACATGGACAAGATGTGTCCATTTAGGACATCGCAAAAGATTTGTGTCAAGACAGAAAATGCTTTATCATGGCATAGGATTTTTATTTGTTAAATGAAAGTGTGGTTTATGTATTTTTTGAGTTGTTGTATGTCAGAAAGTTAACCCTCAATAACACACAGTGTACCGAGGGCGGCACAGTAGAACACTAACAGGTTAATGAATACATTACAGAATCACACAAATAATGCATTTTATACTAGGGATGCACGATATTTGATTTTTGCCGATATCCGATATTTTTCAACTCATTTTGACCGATACCAATATATTTCCTTTTGTTTGGAAACAACACCAAGTCTCTCCTGTGCAGATATAATAAGCAAAATATTTTACATTTTGGTTAGTTTGAAACAACAAACTTATTTGTTAGAATTAAATAAACAATAATGAAGGTTTTTTGACAGTACATTGAAGCTTTGAAAATAACTATAAATAAACTATATATCAATCGCTGCATTTTTTCCCCCAGAAAGATGCAGTGTTAACCATAACATTTTATTTTAAGATTTAACATTTGTAGATGGTCTAAAGCAAAAGAGTTGTAAAAACTCTGAAAATCTTTTAGAGCTTATGATTTGTAAAAAAAAAAAAATAAAAATAAATCAGTATATATAAAATGTATTTAATTTACAAGTGTCATGTTTGTTTTTCTTTTCATGTAAGCTATAGCTTCTGACCTTTAAATCAAAACATACTCATTATTTTATGACATCAATTACTGCATTATTTAATCAGAAACACAGCCTAAATGTTATTTGTGTAGGCTATTTTACGTTTAATTTAATTAGAAGTAAGCAAACAGCGCCCCCTACAGATTACAACTCCTTACTGAGCGGGCATTAGGACCCGCGGGAGGCTTTCACTGCTGCCACTGCATGTGCTATTACTGTTTACTCTATCACACACCGAACACGTCATTCTGTACGTGCTTTCACAGATTAAATGCAGCGATCCAAAATAGTCAATCTAATCATCATTCAGACAAAACTTTGCTTCAAGAATGAGCCACACTGTTTACGTGATCTAATCACTAGCTCACCCTGAACACATGTGAGTTAACGTATTCCTCTTAACGGCAAGACATATCGGCATAATTTTTCATATCGGGCAGATGCCGATATGTACATTTAAAGCCATTATCGGCCGATTCCGATATCAGTCCGATAATATCGTGCATCCCTATTTTATACTGTTAGTGATGGTGCACAGATGCACAAAACACACCAGTCTCAGTCTCCTCTGACAGCACAGGTAGGTGTATATACAAAAACACAACACCACCACACCTCCAGAAAAGCAATGCTACTCTGCAAAATCATTCCCAGGTTTGCTGGAGAGTTAAAATCACTTCCATGCTCCGCAAAGCTCTAAGAGCCACCACATGAGATCCACATACAACTATGCACTTCATTAACTCTGAGTGACGGCAAACATTTCTCCTGCTGTGAGCAAGAAAAAAAGAAACTGCTCATTTTTTAGCACTCAAGCAATGAAGTATTAAGAACATGATCTGTGTGTGTTAATAATTTGCAAAAACAAATCATGGTGACGTAAATAAAGATGTCCATGTAAATAATGATCAGATGTCCATGCACACACACATCTATTCTTTAGTGCTTTGTGTCCGGAAGGATAATTTACAGAGCCAGTTTTGGCTGGTACACACTTGCACAATGTGAAAATCTCCAACCAGTCAACAGGCGAAGAGAGGTGTCATGAAGGTAACTGCCTGTCAGGAGGCCTGATGTGTGTGTGCCAGTGTGAGAAAGGACATGTCTTTGACTAAAAGGCCACAGGTCTACAGACTCTTTCTGAATTTTTCATAGCGTCGCATTATTATTCCACAGTTCAAAAGCTGGTCTTAAACAAACCTTTGGGAGTTAGCTAAGAAAAGAACTGACTGTTCAGACAAACCAGAGGGCTGTAGGTTCCACCCTTAAAGGATATGCAGAGCCGTAGGTGCTACACACCATAGATTATATGTAGAGCAGTTACTGCATTAGCAAGTAGAAAATCCAATTCAATTAAATCCAATACAATATTTTTTTCCTGCAAAATATGGTTTGTCATTAAACAACATCATTATCAAAAACAGACAATTATGCATACTGCAGATTAAATAAAAGTGAAAAGCGAGTATTGGTAAAATAGTCTTGTAAATTATATTAATCATCAGATCACAGCCTGATTGTAAGCTTATAGTTAAAATGGTGAGACTAGTCATAGAAAACACAATGGGCTGGATAAAGAAGGTCATTCATTGCCATAAATGAACGATGAATAAATATTATAAAAAAATAAAATAATAAATTAGGGATGTTCAGTTTAACCGGCCGTAAGAATTTTGACCGATTAATACAATCAGTTAAACGGTTTAAAAAGTAATTTAATTATTTATTTTTTCAGTAATTTATAAAAATATTTAAAAAGGTTTGCTGCATGGTTAAAATATGCTACGCGTATAAAAAAATTGTTTTTTAGGGGGAAAAATAACAGAAGTTACGTATAAGTCGCATTTTATTATTTCATTCAGAAAAAGGCCTAATGCCGACGCGAAATGTTTACAAACATTATAATAAACACTGTAAACATAGCTAGGCTATTTTACCTCCCCTCAATCCACAACAAATCCTTTCAATTAACAGTATTTAGAAAAGAACAAGAAAAAAAATATATAAGAAGCTATAGCAATATAAACGACAAGCCAAAACGAATTCATTTAGGCTAAAACGAAACTGAAATCAACGTTGGTCTCTCATTCCACACAAAATCAAATGTTTCTTTATTCACGATGTATTTGAATGGCAAATTATTATTTATTATGTACTTCACTCACGTTTCAATATCCACATAAAACAAAATGTTTTGCATAACATCATGGCGGTACTGTGATAACACTTAACGGCACAGATTTTACTACATATTTTTTTACTACATAGTTTTTTTTCCATATGTTTGACTGACTGTATTTTATTATGACAATGAACAGGCTGCATTGTCAAGGTAGCAATGCTTAACTGTGTGCGCGCATGTGGTGCCGGCACAATCACTTTAATTGTTTCCTTCTAACAGTGGAAGAAACTACTCCTTTTAGTCCTAAAGATAATCGGAATTGTAAAAGGTTTGCCTTTATTTGTGTACATTCACAATAAAAACAAATCTTTGTGCTTTTGTAAAATAAGCCTAAAGAAAAATAGGATGCCACTTTTCTGCCGTCTGTTTCCTTTCGCGCAACACAAAATTGAAGTGAAACTCTGCATACTAGGCTACTTGTACTTAGCCTAGTTTATTATGTTTTTCTCCGCTAGCAGAAGCGCTGCAGGTGCGTGATGTGATATGATGACCATGTGAATCCTCATGTTCTGTCGTTTGCTGCTTTTTGCGCATGTAAAATTAATCCCCGGGAAACAAATGTTAGTATTTTTTTTACGGGTCACAGACACTTATCCGTTCTAATTTAATTCAATTCTAATTTAAAATAATCTTGTCGGTTAACAATCGGTTAACGAGCGTCGGTTAGGAAAAATAACCGAAATGAACATCCCTAAT